GGTGACGTCCCCTCTGATGCCAGGGGGCCCGGGTGTGCCGACAACAGTGTCCCCACCAGGGCCGGGGGCAATCGGAGTGCCGATGGTGAACCACCAGCCAGGGTCTTTGCTGCAGTTCCTGCTCCTGAGCGGGTTGGCTGGCGCGCCGACACCGCCTTCAAGCCTGTTCCTGGTCCTGCACCTGAGCGGGTCGGCCAGTGTGCCGACGCCGCCTTCAAGCCTGTTCCTGATCCTGCCCCTGAGCGGGTCGGCCGGCGCGCTGACATCGCCCCAGAGGCCGCCCTTTGGCATGATTGCCAAAACGTCCCCGCTGAGACCAAGAAACCCAGGTGCGCCGACAACAGTGTCCCCGCCAGGGTACCAGGTCTACAGTGTGCCGACGAGATCCTGCCCCTAGAGCCGATTACCTCTGGTCCGCCAAAGCCCTCATTATTAGTGGAGCACCAGGCTGTCAGGTTTCATACCTCATCCCTTTTTGTAGTCTCACCATTGTTCATGATTAGACCACTGATGAATCATCTACAAATTTCACAGTGGTGTATGACACATTCAACAGAAGGCCCATTACAAATCCCTCAGGCACACCAGTATTCAGGGTGAAAACATAGGATGCGAGTGTTCCTAGCAAGACAGTCTGGGGGCGGTTGGTCAGGAAGTCCTGAGTCCAGCTGGATCAGGTGGCCCAAAACACAACTCCATGTTAATGCTAAGTTTGCTCCATATCTACTAAGTGTGAAATGAGGAAACTGTGCACATTTGCCAAAAAAAAAAACTTTGCATGGTAAAAATATGTGTTAGTTTGATGTGCAGCCCACAAGTAGCCAAAAATCTATTCGTTTCTGTTCAGTCCTTCCCTGTATGAGAAGGATCCATATATCGTATGATTGATTTTAATTGGCCTCTCAACCACTGAGGATGTGACTCTCTTCTCTGCAGAATGCCAAATCTGTGGTTGAGATAAGTATAAACAGTCAGACTTACTCCAGCATTGTTTCCAGCCAGTAACCTTTAAAGCTCCTAAAATGGCCTCAGATGAACTGGAAACATCTCCTCGTGCTGATATTTTTGGATCTCTGTGGCTCATTAAGCCTTTCACACCACACCAGGCCATACGCAACCAGAACGTGTGACACTGTGAGTCAGTGTGTGCCCAGGCTGCCTCACAGAGCTGCATTTGCCACAGGCCAGGGCTGATGAAACAGTGTCATGATGAATGTAGTGGAGAAATGCGAACCATCATGTCTAGTCTTTCTGAGAGTCTGTGTGTCTCCCTGTTTGTTTTCTCACCATCTGCCTGTTTGTTGATTCTTCTGTCACTCGGTTTATTTGCCTGCCTGTCTCCCTCCGGTTTTCTTGATCAGTTTTGCATGGCATCTTGTGACTCTTTTATGCGACTGAAAGTCATGGGGACAGGAAGATGGCAGAGACTGAGGGAAAGATTGCAGCAGTGAAGGGGAGGAGGTGGGTTTTTTTGCTTGTATGTTTGTCCAAGCTTCACAATCTCTTGCTGTTTGTCTGCAGATAAACAGTGAGGGTCACCTGGGTCACTGAAATCTAATACTGCTGCTACACAGCAACATCTGCAGCCAGGACAGAAGTTGGGCAAACATTATTTACATTTATTGAATACACAAGAATGTTTACTACATAGCAAATTTGATAACATGAATCAGTAATGATAATTTTTGTATGGGGATTTGCAAGTGACAGGCCCATTTGCAGAAATGGTTTATTCTAGTCATCACAAGCTTTTGAGAAAAACAAAGTAAATGTAGGTGTAGTCTTTGTCTTTCAGTGTCTTTTTTGTTAAAGCTTGTTCCTTTTTTCAAGCTCTAAAACATAGGGTCACATTTTCCTGTATCTTTATACAATACTCAGTCTGTTGAAAGGGTTATCGGTGTCTCAGCAGTTTAAGTTTGACAATTTCTTGCTGAGCTGCAGGAAAGGTAACAAAGAGAGTCCCTAACATCCAGGGGCGCCGCTAGCAGTTTTGGGCCCTATGGAAAAAATTTGAAGTTGGGCCCTCTACCTCAGTCTGTGGGCCCCCAAAGTTCGTGGGCCCTTAGAATCTTCCTAACTTTACCCCCCTAATGGCGCCCGTGCTAACATCTATCGGCTACTCACCTAATTAGTCCAGCTGAGACTGCTGAAGCCTCAGATTAGTTTAGGAGGGATTGTCTTCAGGCATGGGACTGCTGTGTTAGGAGAGATTTGAAAAAACGGGAGCCTGTCCTTTGATCCAGTTAACATTTGTCAGCAACATTTTAGTCATATTTGTCATTTAGATGTGCAGCAGACTTCTGTTTCTCAGTCATAATATTGATCTGATATTAAAAGGGTTTCAATATTAGCATTTTTACAAGTTAATATTGACATTACAGTTGCAAATGAACCAGGAGAATAGAAGCTGATGCTGGGCGGGATGTGTTTTGATTGGATGCCAGTTCAGTTAGAAGTGTAACACGTCCTCTTACCTAGTTATAAATGATGTTTTTTTTATACTAGCAGGTTTTCTTTAAATAGTTTTTCTGCTGTCATTGTTCATTTGATCATTTTAAGGGCTGCATCAATCCAAACTGTCATCTCCCAATACCAGTGCCTTAACTAGAACATGGATTTGTGATCTGTGTGTTCTCATTTACCAAATTTTAAATCTAGAAATAATTTTTATGTAACACATACCAGAGACACTGACTCTGTAATATGACTAACAAAGAAGCAGTTTGTATGTCATGTGGATTGGTCACATCAGCTTAATTACAACAGTATCTGACCACATACACATTCACCATATTTGATGATCGCATCCCAGATAAATGCCTAAATGATCTGAACATAGTTGTTTTTTAGTTATTGCTACATACTTGTAAATAACTCATGACTGTCTTTACTGTCATTTATCTTTATTCTTACTTTCCCTGTCATTCTGTTATTTCTCCTTCTGTAGCCCACATTTTCTCACCTAAACCTACCTGTTTTTACATCTCTCCTACCATTTTTCATCACCTCCTCTTCCTCCTCCACTAATCATCTCTTCTGTCTCTCTCTATAGGAGATAAAGAAAGAGGTTAAGAGGGATGGAGGACAGGCAAGCATGAGCAGAACGGACCTTTCCAATGGCAGGGCCAGCCCGGTGTCTGAGCCCAGCATACGACCGGGCAGGAAAGGTACTCAGCTCTGCATTCATATACTGTAGTCACCAAGTTTTTAGGCTCAAACATAGAGCCTGTTAGTGTGAGGAGGGATGTGGGTCAAGCATTCCTCACCATTCTATTCCAAATATGTATCCACATACTTCATACTCAGTATATACACATGCTCAGGGCTGAGGTCAGGGGGGTGGAATGGGACTGTTAACATTTCTTTTTGGGTAGGCAATGAAACATTTACAGGGGAATGCAAAATGACTAGTAAGAGACACAAAATGACAAAAAAGACATGCAAAACAAATACATATAGGCACAAAAATCACCATAGCACCAAAACAAAGAGACATAATGACTGAAACCAGGCACAGAATGACAACACAAATGTGCAAGAAGCTACAAAGAAAAACAAAAGGTCTATAGAAAGGTGTAAAATGAATACATAGAGGCACAAAGTGACATGATGACACAGAATGGCTACAGTGACTACAGTTCCAGTCTGGTGGTGTTGCTCCTCTGTATGTTGGATGGGAGGCCTTTGACATATGTGTCAAATAGCTCATTGTATTATGCTCTGCTCATAGCTGTAGGCTTTTGTGTATATAGCTGCATACACACCCTTACATGTGATTGTGTTACACAAGAATGACACCTAGTGCACAGAATATGAACTGCATGGTTGTGTATCCACACGCCAGCTGGTGTGGGATGAGTCAAGAGTAATGAGCATGCAAATGAGTATAGGACAAACAAGTGCGGGCCAGTGGGAACATTTGGTGTCAGTGCTGGTTAGACTGTCCTTTAATTGAAAGGTCAAAGGTCAGCATATTAGAATTTAGTCATGAGGGCTTTTAATAAATCAGTGACCTCTTGCTCACTCACTGTGGATTATGGATAAATGCATAAACTAATTATGTTGTACGTAAGACAAAAATATGTTTACACATACACTCTTGTTTTGTGTGTGTGTGTGTGTGTACGCACGCTGCAGGGGACCAAATCCGTAAGCGGAGGTGTAAAGCGGCGTTCAGCTATGTGCCTCAGCATGAAGATGAACTGGAGCTGAAAATAGGAGACATCATTGACATTATAGCAGAGGTAAGACTGCTCACATTTACTGGACTCCTAACGAACCCTTGTGTTATATACAGATAGGGCCAGTGGGAAAAAATCAGCCCCCAAAACACAAGTAGAAGTGGGATTTGTAAATCCACAATATTTGATGAAAATATTCTATTAGCTTAGTAACAGTGTCCTTGTTGCACAGTTTTTCTGCCACAGAGTATTGACAAGTTCATCTTTGTTATAAGTCTTTAATAAACAAACTGAAGGATCCCTGTTTGTTCATGTTCTGAACTACATTGGTTTCACCTTCAAAAACCACATATTAGTCGGGTACAGTATGAAAACTCCCCACCTTGGCTGCTGATAGAATTAAAACATTCAGATATTTAGAGTAGATATTGAATATTCTTGTGATTTCTCTGGGACAGACAAATATTTTTTTGTTTTACTGTTGTATTTACTCAAATATTCTGGACGAGTGACAGACTGAGCAAACGATCCAAATACAACAAATACTTTTTTGTTTGATTGATTGTTTAAAGGCAGCAAAATGGACAGGGATATTATTTGTTTGTACATCTAATTTTATTGATTTGGTTTTGGACACTTTTGCCAAGAACTCCTAGTATTTTTGTTAAACTAAAGTATCATGTACACCTAGTGCATTGTTTGAATGTATTTCTTTAAATCAGAATCAGCTTTAATCAGAATCATTAAATGCATTTGTTTTAGTACTCTGTCTGCCTCCAGTTCTGTTTGTACAGTTATGTCAGGTACAGTGTGTTCTTTTAATAAAGTGGAAACTGAGAACAGGATTTTAAAAATTGATGAAACTCTGTCACCACAAAGTCCATATTAGCTGATCTGCAGCATTTTGTCATACCTCATTATCCTCCTACAGGTAGAGGAGGGCTGGTGGGAGGGAATTCTTAATGGGAAGACAGGAATGTTTCCCTCCAATTTCACCAAAGAGATCCTGGCAGAGTCCGACACACCCTCAGTAGACACTTCCGCCTCACAGGAGGAGCTTCGCAGCGGCTGCACAAGTGAGTTTCAGTCACATAGATGGTGGAAAATTATTGTTAATATTTTATTGATATGTCAATATAGATCAAATATTTTCTACAAAATCAACATTTTCAGGAGTGCAGCCACAGTAATATATATTGTGTATTGTTTGTGTATGTAGGTAAGGACAGTCCAGGCAGTGAAGGTGATGGAGGGGACGGTCGGTCAGAACCAGGGTCAGGAGAAATCCAGCCCAAGAAGGTAATCAATCATGTCCAGTAAAGATGTGACTGATAGGTGCTTTAGTAGCTTATGGAGGAAATTAACTGGAAGACCATATAGGATGCTGCTGCAGGATTCTAGGCTGGAAGTGACAAAAGGATGGATCAAAGTTTCAGCAGCAGAGGTACGGCCGGGCTGTTTTTACAGTAATGTGTCTCTAAAATGAGAATGATGAATCAAATAAGATGCCTAGATTAATGACCTGGGAAGGATGGAGAACAGAAGGAGGATTTTCAGATGGTTTTAGTCAGTGTTTCAAGGACTCTGATGATTATTTTTGATTTGTTGTTAAGGATCTTTGTGTGCTCCAGTGCTTGTATTTCTTCCAGACTGACACAGGGTTGAGTGGGTGGAGAGGGATAATAGGTTTGGTGGAGATACAGAGCTGGATGTCAGCATCAAATTATTTATATAGGACATTAAACAGCAACAAGAGTTGACCAAAGTGCTTTACAAAATAACACCACTATGGCAGAATAATATAGCAAAACAATAAACAAACTATAGGCTTGCTTAGAAAAATAGCAGTATACTGTATCGATGTATGGAAAGAGAATTTTAAAAACAAAAACAGTATCCAGTTTAAAAAAACAGTATACAAAATTTTAAAATGCAGCTGTCCAAAACTGTATTGCACAGTAAATATAGCAGTGAAAACTGAGTCTGTGTTTTGTGATATTGCTTTCAAGTGGAATTTAGCAGAGGATGAAAAGGAGGGGGCGGCAGTAGATGGGGTGCAGTTGTTGATGCTGATGAAGCATTGTCTGTCAGAGATAAGATTTGCTTTAGAAAAATGTGTTTATAGTATCTAAATCTATGGGCCATGAACCATTCAAAAATGTTCTTGCATGAAATCCATTCTGTGTCACTTTCCCTCTTTAATCAACCCATAGGTCCGAGGGTTTGGCTTTGGTGACATCTTTAAAGACCAACCCATTAAGCTCAGACCTCGCTCTATGGACATGGACTCAGATGGGGACAAGGTGACTCACACACACACACACACACACTTGTTTTTCTATAGTTGGGATGTATTGCATTCCCTAGCCCTTTAAATGCCTAAAACTAGGTCTTAACTCTGACAGCCCTTCGAAGATGTGAAGCCTGTCCAAAATGTTCTCACAGTGATGATACTGAACTAAAATTTGTCCACACAATGACAGAGAGACATGTATATACACACACATGTGACACCTCACTTATTCATTTTTGATACTGTGATCACTGTATTGTGACTAGTGAGGGAAGGAAGTCCCAGCTTTGGCTCCTCCCCTTCCTCTGTTGCAGTTTTACAGCACAGGAAGTGGTTTTATGTTGACACGCACCCACACGCTCACACATGCGCATTCTGCAGGGATTTGACAAGCTAAGCAGAAGTGAGAGCTCCATAGTGTGGAGAGAGAGAGAGGGAGGTACAGTAATACAGTTTTTCACAGGTTTTTGCATAGTCACACGCACTGTCTCCGGCTGCTGTCTGCACTGAGGTAGCAGACCTCCGACTGTCTGTCTGACTGTATCTGGAACCAGAAGAGAGGACGGTGGGGCCACTTTTTATTTTACTCCTCTTTCTCCCTTCATGTCGTCTTTTATTTTAGATGTTTGTTTTCTTCAGCCACTGAATTTATTTTCTTTTCATCCTTTGTCTCTTATTGTGTTCTTCTGGTCTCCTCAGCATATTTTTCTGTGTAACGTGCAATGTTTCACATGAAATTAAGCAATGTTACAAGTGGTGTGGCTTAGTCACGGTGCTGTTTAGTTACTCAGAAGGTAGTGTGAGATTTTTTGGTGTAGTGTAGGAAAATTATAATTATAAAATAATTGTGTCTGTGGAGGCTTTTGTATTTGTTGGTCAATACAGAACATGCTTTTTGACATTTTGCTATGAATACAGTCTAGTTCATGGACATGATATTGAAAGCTCAGCTCACTAACACTGCAATTTCTTACTTCTAATAGTTTCTGGTGGTTCAGACACCTTTGTTTTTATTTTAAACACATTTAGTGAGAGTTAGTTCTCTCAAATTTTCAGATTCGGTTTAAAATCAGTGGTGGAAAGTATTAAGTATAGCACTTAAGTAAGTTAAGTTCTGAAGTAAATGATCTTGTACTTGTATAGTGCTTTTCTATGCAACAAAGCAGACTCAGAGTGCTTTTACACTATTTTCTATTCACCACTTGACCCATAAAAACATTCACACACTCATAGTGCAGCCACCAGGAGCAAATTGGAGTCGCTGTCTTGCCCAGGGACACTTTGACATGTGAACTGGAGAAGTTGGAATTCAAACCACCAACTTTCTGGTTAGGAGACAACCTGCTCCGCTTCCTGAACCACAGCTACCCATTGGGCTTTACTTGAGTTTACGTTTAGTCTACGACATTTATGGTATTGTTACTTTTCATATTAAGATTTTACACTTATGATAAACTTGTAAAACGTAACACACTAGTAAAGATAAAACCAGTGGTTCTAAACAGCTTGTGAGCACTTAAATGAAAAAAGTTGGGCCCCAGGAGACAAATGCCAGATGTCCCTGCCTTGTTCTGCCTTAGTGACATTTCCTGTCTAAACATCTGACATAGTTTAATTTAAATAACTGTTGTTGGCCCAAATAGGTAAAATTACCCAATATTTCACAAAAACTCCAAAAATAATTGACAAACCTTTGTATGTAGAATTGTTTTTAATTAATTTGATCCTTTAGATTAAACTTGTGACCCACTGGAAGGTCCCAAGCACCAGGTTGAGAAACACAGGATTAAACTTTGTCAGTCAAAACCAATTTTTCTGCAGAATGAGTACTTTTATTTTTGATATTTTAGTATATTTTGTAATACTATGTAGTTATACTTAAGTTGAAATTTGAATGTAGGGTATATCTTTAACCTAAATAAGAAAATCCAGATTCTCTCGCTGTAAAGCCAAGTTCTTAAATGGCACTAAAGAGAAACCATAACAGTGGTGTTTAGGATCATGTGAACATGAAGCACACAAAAATGAAAAGCAAATGAAGAACATAAGAGACACAGAATGTAAAGACAGTCTTTTAAAAGCCCAAAGTGGTTTTGAAATTTTCCAGACGCTCCTACGGATGTGTGTGTGTGGGGGGTGTACGCGAGTTTGTTCTAAAGGATGTTTGTCAGCCTGTCCTACTGAGCAGGAGGCTGTTATGTTGCTTTATGGTGAGGCGAGCCTCTCTGCTCCCCATGAGGCTTTGGAGGAGGTGCCAGCAGAATGCCTCTGTTCGGGGGGGAGAAGCTGAGTCACACGAAGCCACATGACTTTAATTTGACCTTGAAGGTCAGCTGATTTCATGTGGGTGAAGTCCCAGTGTGGCGTGACATAGTAATTGAATGCTGGCATTAACATATAATTTGAGTGCTCTTTTTCAGGCTGATTACAATACTTTGCATTATTTTTGTGACCAGTGTCTAACGTCTTTCAGCTTTCATTCTAGCAGTAGAAGCTGTGCTCAGTGTTTCCTCAGATTGTTTTCTTGGTGGTGACACGGAGTCACTCATCCTTGAGGTCAGCTGAGCTTACAATAAATAGAAAGATCTTTAGTGTCATTTTAGGTGTGCTAGTGGCATCTTAGTTTAATAAAAAATAGCCATAGTAAAAATATACATGTTTTAGTAAAGTTTTTGAGGTGTCTGTGTCAGGGATTATCATTCTAGTTAACTGGCTTTTAATGTGTAGTTGAAAAGGCCAGCACCAGCTTTGTATATCATACTCTGTACAAGTGCCTGTTTTGATTTTTGATGCTCCACTACCATGTTTTTTAGTCCTTGTATTCATAAATGGGAAGTTCATATTTGATGTCAGCCACGTCCTCACTCTCAACAGCTCAGGAAGACACCTTCTAAGTTACTAAACTAAATAGGAGTGGGCAAGAAACCTGTTGTGGTTTTATTGGCAACAAATTGACTTTTCTTCTGAGATGGTTATTCTGACAGCCCACTAAGGAACAGTGGGGAGCTGTACAGAAAAAAACTGCCAACACAGAGCTTAATGTCTATAGCGTCCACAGATTTAGATAGCAAGGCAAAGGTTTAGGCTGTGAGGCCCATGACCCATGCTAGGGACAAAAAATGAGGAAGTCTGCTTCTGCTGCACATATTGAGACCAGGGAAAATGTTAGATGCCAGAGCTTGTGCATAAGCAGAGGTAACTGGATAGAATTAGTGTAAGGCTGGGGTCAGATTCATCATCATACGGTAAAATGTGACTGCTTACGGTGGAGGATAGGATCAAGAGCAAGCATATCTACAAGGAAACAGACGTCTGTTCCCACAGACTCTACACCCAAATAATAATAAATGGGCTCAGCAGTTTTAAAAACATTGGCATATTGTATGTCACAGCTTGTGAACGCTGAACTTTCAGAACATTTACTAAATCAATGCATCGTTTAATTTTCCTCTTGTGGAGCCGGAAAGCATGACTTCATTGGTAAAGCACCAGGCCAGCGCAGTGTGCAGCACAGCAGGTTGATAATGTTCATTTCTTCTTTCACCATGCAGGCTTTGTTCCTGTTTGAATTTCCTGCCTGTGGGCATGCTTTGTTTTGCAGGTGGAAATTGAGTTGCTAAGAAACAATAGGATGTACAGTAAACCCAGCTTTACGGTCATGTCTGGTTTCTCCTGCACCATATAAGAAAATAGCACTCAATTAAACTGAAAGTTAAAAACGAAACCCCGACTGTCTGAGGAGTCCTAAAAATAAACATAGCAAAACTGTAAACTAAAAATAGTAGTAGCATCAATAAGAAACTGTTCGATTCCTGTTATCTATTTGAGGCTCAGCAGTGTGTGATAGTGGACATAGAGCCATGTCTGTGATGTTCTAATGGTGTCTCAATGCTTGTGGCACCACATGGGCCTCATTAAGGAGGGAAGTAAAGTATGAGAAGTTTGTAGAGAGAGGAGAAAAGCTGAGACACTGTGGATGTTCTGACCCAACAGAGCAGAGCTGTGCGTGTGTTTGGCACAGGCCAGGTTCTGTGAATAAGGGTGTGTGGGGTTGTGTTTTCCTATGGAAAAGCCACCCTGGTTCCACAAACAGTCGAGGGATCCACTCCACCTGGGAAACAACGGCTCCTTTAACAGCCTGAGCTGCTCATGTACACAAACACACTGACTGGAAAATACATACTTTATCATGAAGTTGGTTGGTTGTTTTGTTGGTTTTGTGCTAAATCAGGGGCTTTCAACTAATTGTGGCCCAGGGATCACCATTCTGACAAAGAAGGCTGAATAGGTGCCATTTTAATCCCAACAGCCACCCTGGCTTTTCTAAATTGTACATTTGTATGAATTAGATCATTTACAAATAATAAGTAATTCATGCAAATGTGTTTAAAAAATAACATTTTAAAAAGAGATTCGTACAGTGTAGCTACAATATTGAATGCATGGTCAGGGGCCACCTGCAATACCTACATCAACCAGCAGGGGGACACAGACCACTGTTTGTGCTAAATCCAATCTCATCCTCTTTAATTAACTGCTTGGATTGGAGTGTAGGACACTGCTGTTTACTGGAGTGAATGATTGTTTCAGTTCAACAGTTTATTTTTGAAGAATTGTGAGTGAAAATTAATTTTGCATTATTCTACTTTACTTGTCCTGTTTTTTATGTTTAATTTGTTATGTGTGAGTTAAAGTCAAGCTAGTGGTTAAAATCTTCACTATTGAATGGATTGCCATGAAGCTTTGTACACACATTTGCGGTACCCTGTGATTTTGGTGATGTCCTGACTGTCCAGTGCCACACAGCAGGTGACAATTATGATTTAAGTGAGCTACTGTATCTCATTAACTGTTGGACCCATGATGGACTGCTTTATTTGGACCAACAGGTCAAAAGGTCAGTTTGTCTAAGTGTTTATGGCCAAATACTTTTAGCTGTACTTTGTTTTCATTGACAAATGTTAGTATGCTAAAGTGATCATACAAAGAGACATTTACTGCAGAGATGTCTACACTGAGTGTGACGAGTAAACATGCCATCACTGTCGCACTATCACTGTCTCCACCTTCACATCGACCACACCTCAAGCAAACCATGGATGCGGTATACACTAGAAAGGCTGCTGAAAGGCACCATGGTAACTTTATTAAGTCCCCAACCAAGTCACTCAGAGTGGTTGCATCAAAAACATCAAATTGAGCCACTGATTGTAAAATGTTATCTACTGTAGAGAGCAGACTAGAGGGGCTTGTGTTGGTAGCGGCAACTTTGTCATAGAAAAATGGCAAAGTTAAAAGTTTGTTGATGGTGGGGGAAAAGGAAAGACTCATTGTTTTATTGTTTAATCATTAAGTGAGAAATATGTGATCACATAGGTGATTTTGTGTCTTTTAACATCTACTTCTAGTTTTGTGCTGTTGCTCTCCGACAGTTTCGGTTTTTGCAAGTGTATCTGAGGCCGAGATGTGTGCAGGCGTTTGAAATTAAAGGTTTCCTTCCATCTCTTTATCTTTCAGGCCAGTGAGGGAAAACCAACAAGTGCTACCACTGAAATCATGAAGACTGAGCCTGACAGCAAAGCTAAAGGTAAGAGGTTAAGTCTTTATGGTGTATTGTTACTGTGGTGTACTGATTTGTTCACTGGGCCTTGTCTGAGTTTCTCTGAATTTATTGCCCATCAGGGCGGGAGCAGTGTAAGGTCCTCTTTCCATATGAAGCACAAAATGAAGACGAGCTATCAATCAAAGAGGGGGATGTCATCAACATTATCACCAAGGTACTGTAAGTCAGTATATATGTATGTATTTGCTTTACTTGTGGGTGTGTCTGCTTTGTCACTTTTGTATTTGCATCATTTGGTTAGATGTGTGTTTGGGTGCTGGTAAGAAAACCATCATTTGCATCCAGGTGCACACTAAATATCACTTAGCAATCATTAAGCTGTAGTTCAGAGCAGACACTTTGCTGTGTTTCTTCCAGGACTGTGCTGATGCAGGCTGGTGGATGGGGGAGATTGGGGGAAGGCAGGGTGTCTTCCCAGATAACTTTGTCAAGCTGCTAGAAGTTGAGAAAGAGGTAATTTTGATATCCTGACACATGCAAATACTGTCTGTTTACTGTGATGTCTGAAGCCTAGAAAGTCTCAGGGACATGATAGATTCTTTGTAATGTTGTGGAGGTATTTTTGTAATGTTGTGTTTCTGTGTGTGTTCTCAGAGACCAAAGAAGCCACCTCCTCCCAGTGCACCCTCAGCTAAACACACCATAGGTAACTCCTAACTTTGCTTATTCTCTCCTGTCATGTATGCATGTTCTGAGAGAGACAAAGATAGAAGCAACCCCAAAACCTGTAAACTCTGACCTGTAGAGAAAAAGTCTGAGATCAAGAAGGTTCCTCCTGAGCGGCCTGAGCATCTACCACAAAGAGACCAGGACCGAGGTAGAGTTGTTTCCATTCTCTTTAGCCTGCAGCATCTTATAACTCTCTACTGATCTCTTCAGCTGGCAGCAAACAGATCACTAACATTATTGTTAATTATCAGCATTAAATCTGATGCATTACAGCACAAACAATATAAAGGGTACATGATGAAACAATTTAAAGACAAGTAGAAAGATCACTTGCTTTCTGCTGCCTGTTTTCATAAATCAAAAGAGCAAGGAAACCAGCATCAGCCTGTGACTGTGCAACAGGAAGCTGCAGGATGTGTGGTTTTCATTTTGACAGACGCTGGCACCAGCACTACTGCTAGTGTGAGACACAAGCTTCTAATTATACCATAATAACACAAAGCAATCACTTGTTTTGTGATTTATAATTTATTGTTTTCCATGCAAGTATATATCAAGCATGTATTTATTTCAATACAGCTAATGGAGAAAATGGAATGGTGAAAGTAGCTTTTATGACAAAATGTCCAATAAATGCACAAAGATGACAAACAAAGAATGGGGAAAACCACAGATTTAACAAGATAAAATTTTAAAACTTTTAAATTGAGAACTTTTTAAAAATGTATAAAAATCGACATGACCTTAATTTACATTATTTTTTATTAAATTAAGAGATTTAAAATAAAAATTTAACTAACAAGATTGAACAACAAGAATTTTGAGACTGTAAAATGCTTTTTGAGCTTCCGTCCTGTTGTAAAAGTCAAATGTGCAGAACATTATGATGAAGACATTATAGTCAGCGCTAACATTTTTCATGTGTGCATCTGTTATCATAATAACGTGCACAGTCCTAAGCTACAGAGTAAAAATATAAAAATCTTTCTCATCCTAACAAGTATTTGATTGTAATATCCCATCAGTGTTGACTGATAAAATGTTTTTAGAGGAAATTTCTAAAATCAGAAATTGTAGTGATAAAAAAGTTCATTAGCAGTTTTTTCAGTGTTGCACAAAAATCCAGAATTTTATTTTTTTAATAGACTATGTTTTGTATTCTCATAAAACAATCAGATTATATAACAATAGTAACAAACATGCTGACCCCAGATCTTCCTTTTTGCTCCTCATAGCCATCTGCTTTCCTGCTTCTTGTTTTCTTTAAACATCCCTTTCTTGTCTAGACAGACTTCACTTTTCTCTTTAAATTCTTTAACAAACTTTTTCTGCATGTTTTTTTCCTCTTGGGCTAAATTTAGTTCAGTTTTACTGCTGCGGCTCCATCACCTTACCCTGCATGTCTGTGTGTGCAACTCTTCATGTGTGTGATTATGTTTGATGTGTTTTAGTTGTTCTCCTCTTGAATATTTGTGTATGTTTGTGTAATTTTGTGTGTGTCTCTGTGTGTAGGTGAAGAGGTAAAGGTTGGCGACATCCTCAAGCCCTCTCTCCCATCTATCCTCCCCAAGAAACCCCTCCCCCCAAAGACAAGCTCCTCCTCTTCCTCCCTACCCCCACGGCGTCCTGAGAGACCGCCCACTTTAGCGTCAGTACACATTCGAACACACACACACACACTCTAACTACACAGCCATACATCACTGAGCAAACAGAGCCTAATATTGTTGTATGGTTTACCTGCTCAGGTGCGAAAGCCCCAAGTCTGAGGGCGGGGCTTCGACACCAGATTCTCCCCCTGACAGGTCACATGACACTGGTGAGTTTGCGTGGCAGGAGCACCAACCGATGAGATCAGGATATGGTGTCTCTAACTGTCAGAGCGCTCTCTTTTTGCTTGTGAAATGTTACCCACTGAGAGTTGTTTTTGTGTTTCTGATGTGTGTTTGTGCAGATATGGACCTGGACGCAGTGATCCCATCTGCAGAGAAACTGAGTCATCCAACAGCTTCGCGACCAAGAGTCACAGATCGTCGGCCTCGTTCACAGATCATCGCAACTGTGAGTGTCTTATTATGAGAGGGTCTTATACTACATACCAAGTCTGAGCTGAGACAGTTAGGCTATTTGTGTCTTTTAAATTACTTTAAACTGAATATGTTGGGCAAGCAGAGTCAAAACCGGTTTATTCACACAGCACAAAACCCTGTTTCCACCACCTGGTACCAGCTTGACTCCACTCACCTTATCAGTCAAATGTTGGCGATAGTAACTGATTCTAGTTTTTGGTATCACCTCAATCGCAGTTCCCAGTGAGCTAAGGTGATACCAAATGGTGACATGTAGACACTGCAGATAACTGAATGGTCAGAGAAATTCGTCAGTACTACATGGCCACAGATGAACCTGGATCATACCATTGTGATGTCACTAGTCGCTCGTTCTTTGTTCATATTAGTAGCTGCCACTTCTCTCTTATGAGTGTTCATTATGCAGAAAACATTACATTTATTTACTGACTAAATCAAGTCCTATTGTGAGTAGTGGCCTGTTAGAAAAGCCACAGACTTTGCCCTGAGCCTGTCACAGTCATTTGTAAACACTTTTTTTCGCCTCTCTCTTGCAGCCCTCCCTCTCCACTACTGACCTGGACTTACCTGCAGTAGAGGACAGGAAGGAGAAGGAGAGGGGGAAGGAGGAACAGGAGACAGCCTTCACCAGATCTGTAGATGTTTCCCTGAGAAAAGGAGTATGACCACCACCCTTTATTTATCTCCTCACAATACTTATCTCATCCAGCAGGGGGGAGCACACCACAGATTTTCCACAATACATGCTGTTAATAGACTATAGAGTTTGATGAGACATGATGATTCTGTTGGTAGCATTTCTTGCAATGTTACATTTCATTCCAAATCCACTTAGTAATTATTTATAACAGCAAGAACAAAAGTTTCCTTTGGGTGAAGTGTTTCAGTGGACAGTCTCATCACAAGGCCCAGTAGTAGCTGCTCTGGAGATTTCGGTCCTATCACAAGCTGTCCTCGTCACATGGAGCTAAAATTGTTGAAATGTTTGTTTCTGTCAGCAGTTTAACAACATCTTTTCTCATTAATAACATTTAAATAAGATTAAAAGTTCATTCTTGACTTTGAAAGCAACAGTTGGCAGAACAATTTCATCACAAGCTTATATATTTGTCACTTTTTGTACTGTTTTTGGTGTGATTTGGATTCCTGGTTTTACTGGAAGCTCCCCAGATATATAAACCTAAAGCAGAATGGTGTGTTTAGAAAGGATAACGGCTCTTACAGTGGTGTGTTTCTGTTAGGCACCTGACAATAAAGCACCGCTGCCTGCAAAGCCCTCTGTTCTGGCCCCACCAAACTCCAGCCATCGCTCTGTGTCCCCGTCTTCCTCCTCCGGTCCAAGCCCCTCCCCTGAGCTCCGGCACTCACCTCTGACCCCCCTGACGTTGGAGGAACTCAGGAACCAGCTGAGAGACCTGAGGGCCTCTGTAGAACAGCTGAAGAGCCAGCACAGGTGAGTGTGTGCAGGTGTTTTGTGTACCAGTGTACTGTACCTGCTGATGTCTTTGTGTCTGCTGGTTTACTGCAGGCAGGAGATGAAGCAGTTGGCCGGCATGCTGGATGAGGAGAAGAAGATTCGTATTAGTTTACAGGTGAGACTCAAAGGATTAAAGGGTGTGACACAACTGAAAAATGAAAAATAGAAATCTTAGTATACATTACTCGATAAAGTATGCAATGATTGGCCACAATAAGATGCCTCAGTGAGGTGTGGAAAGCACAGCACAAAGGCCTAGTACCAGGTGAAATGTAGGAGGAGCCAGGCCCAGGGTCACCCCACAGTGCAACTAAATCTACCACTAGGGAGATGAGACCACTGGCAAGTTAAGTGACCTTCAGCCGGTAAGGAGAGGGAGTTGCTCCACTTTGACAAGGATGTTGATGGAGTCCTGAAGCCACAGCCAGGGGGAGATGTTGGACAGAAACCCCTGTCTTTGTTGAACCCCAGTGACACGGCTGAGAGGTTTGGAGTCAGAGAACAGATGGTAACCTCCAACTGCTGGAAGATGAAGATCAGATGGTTATCTGAGAAACGAGCTCTGAAAGATAGTGAGGAAGAAGCTGGTCACTGCATAAAGCATTGGTGGCACAGGAGTTGGGTAGAGTGAGAGCTAGGAAGCTGTTTGTCATGTAAAATACCAATAATCTGCTGGTTCCAGCTTCTCAGAAGAAAATTTGCTGCTTTTTTTTTCTTTCCAGTTTAATTAAATAAATACATTAGGGTTTTAGACGAATGAAGCATTTTGAAAACAGGATATATAGAAACTTTGGTTGTGTGTTAGGCTTTTCTACTATTTACACATTTTTATTTTACAGACCAAACAATTGAAAAACTAATGATCCAGAGTCAGATCCAGATGAAGATATCCCAGCAAACACCGCAAACACAAAGTATCGACTATATGTGTGCTTATTTTACAGATGGAAGTGGACCACTTAAAGAAGAACCTGTCGAAATAAAAATGAAAGCATCCGTGTGTGTGTGTGTGATCACCACACTGGAGGTCATCATCTGAAAACATTTTCACTGTTGGTCGAGACACTTCAGCCAAAACAAAGTTTGTGCCAAATAATCAACTCAGCACCATGGAATCAGCCACCAACCTGCCCCGCCCCACCCCACCCCCCGTCATCCCGATGCCGCCTTATCCTGTGTTTGCTTACATTTTTCTGTTCAGTTTACTGCTATCTTGTTGGAGCTTGCCGTACCACTGGTACCAACTGACCACGGCCTGTCACTTTGTGTTGCCGCGGTTACAAAACAATGACACTGAGCCATGGTTACCGTGGTGACATCACTGGTACTATTTGTGTCTGAGCATGAAGGAGACTCGGGACTTGACCTCCATAGTATGGTTGGTGCAGATGACCTCTGTGCTGTTGTGTGTCTACTCTGTGGCCTTTGCCTCTCATCTGTGAGTGTGTGTTTTCCATCTGTGTGAGGACTGCAGTTCTAGACCTGCAAACGCAGGTTGTTTTGGCTAGTCCTGGCTTCTTCAACGGGTAGGATCTAGGTTAGGATTTCTGTTTTGGGTTAAAACGCAGACTTTGAGTCACATCAGTAGCATTACATTTTCAGGACACACTGAGACAGGGCTGGGGGTTAAACACAATCTCGGCAACAATGATACACCGATGAGTAATGTTTGATTGATGATTGTATCTGGGTCAACTTGCTACACAGTAATCCTATTAGACCACAGCAACCAGGTTATGTAGCTGTTACCAGTGGGACCAAAGCATGGAAAAACACAGAAGCTGTTGGAAACATAATGAGGAGAGTCAGATCACACAACACTGATGATTTAGAAATGGTTTGGGTGGAAAAAGAGCATCACAATATCTGCTGTAAAACATTTAGACAACCATTTTTGACAAAGACAAGAACTGCAACAAACCATTTCTACCATTTGAAAAGGTAACGTTACCATCCACCATCCCAGTATACAAAAAGTCACAGAGTGTGCTGCCAAGCAGCAGCACTAGCAGCCGAGCCCCTTGTGCAAATGTTCAGACCCCAGCAGCAGTGGCTGCTGCCATTTGAGGCATTACCCAGTATGATAAGAGCTCAAACAGAAGTAGGAACAAACCAGGTGCACTTTTATACTTTATGGGGAAAAATATGACAATTGTTAACAGTGAAGCAGTGAAAAAAAGCCCGATTTCTAAAGTTTGACGAAAGTAGTGAAAATGAAAGATGTTTTAAAAAGAGCGTGGACTCAGCTTTATGCAGAATGTGGGGGGAAAGTGGAAGAGCAGCTTTACACACATTGCCAACACTACTGACATGTATCTGCACAGTCTTACATGAAAGTCGTTGCTCCTGGCCAAAAGATAGTCCTGCGCATAACCCCCCATAAAACTGCAAAATGTTGATTTTACATTTTGATATTTGTACAGATTTATACAACAAAAATGAACTTTAACCCCACCTTTAGAGGGCTAACTCAGCAAGAATCCAAACAGCACAAGTCAAACAGTTCCATTGACAAAATTTAAAACTGCCCTGAGATATTTGGCTGCCGATTGCAATTTTATTTGAAGAAAAATACTTGGTTTAGTTTTTTGCTGTGAAATTCAAAATCCAAACCACAATACACCTGATGTTGACCTTTACCAGGTAAAGGGTGAAGTAAGAGATTTAAGGAATGTAGTTCATGAAAGGTCCTCACAGGAAAAGGAAGATAAAAATGTGTGTGTGCGTGCGTGCATGTGTGTGTTTATTATCATGTAAGGCTCTTTGCCTCTCTTCCTTATATGTGCACAGAATCTATGGCAACCCATCACTGTGGCCTTCCTGTTTTTGACTCTAAATCTGTTTGTCTTTCTTTTGTATGACAACAAGAAAACTGCTACAACCGAGGCTCCAAAATGTTTTCTTGACTTGGTCCTTTCTTTCCAGGATTGTGATAAATATATACTTTTATAATTCAGTGTAATAAAGATGATATTATGTACTCTATGCATATGTAATTTTATTTTTTAAAAAACCTGACAAATGGTCGAATTGTCTGCAGATGAAATGTGCGTGCGATCGCATGGTGTTAGTCACGATGTGGAGACCAAAGCCTCTTCACACACCGAATGCTGGTCCTACCATGGAAGTCACCGAATTATTGAAATCTGGGTAACAGCTTGGTTAAAAGTTAAGGTTAGGTTAAGGCTTTGAGGAAGGGTTGTAGCAGGAACGGTTAGGGTCAGGATAAGTCTACAGGAAGTCAGTGCAAGTCAGTGTAATGTTGAACATTGCGTAATTAATGGCAGTTTTCTTTTAAGAAGTAGACAGACTGCTGAATGTGCGTAAAAACTTCCTTATTACTGTATCCACAGTTGGAAAGGACAGTATGTATATGGCATCCTCTCCCCCATGGGGAACGCATGTCCCCTCTGTTAGGGTTTGATAGATGGTCTCTGGCTGTATCTATAGTCACAAGCCGGTGACTAACTGAGAATAATCAGCCACATCACGTAGCCTTGATTCTCCGAAGAACACTGTGTAAACATGTCCCCTTTAACAATCGCTTGGCGCCATTATATTTGGCTGTTATTTAGAAGCTGTGTTTGGAAATACTGAAATAGCTGCCCATGGAGAGCAGAGAAAGTATAAGGCCATCATAAGATAAGTGAAACCTGAGTCGGGATAATAGTTAACCGATGAGAAAAAACTGATATCAGCCCCCTGCTGATTTCATTTACTAGGAAGACGTAACTGAGAATAACTTGGCTGCCATGTAGAGGAGGGTACCCGAAGGACGCCGTTTTATATTTAGACAAACAGAGACGTGGCGATAACATTTCAGACTGTGGCCAGTGCGGTGGAGACGGAAACCGTCCTGATGTTATCCTGAAATATAAACTCGCTCCTCGTGGGAAACGTTAAACCAGGTTAAAGGTGAGAGACAGGATAATAATTCAACTTCTGGATGCATTTTTGTTTCCCCCCTTTCTCCACATCTCCTCCTCTTTCTTGGGGATCTGGTCGAATCCAGTCTGGGAGAAGCGGACTTCTTGGTGCGAGATAATCAGCAGATGATGTGAGTAAATGAGGCGGAGATGCGCGGGGACAAACTCAGACGCGCTCTTCACCGGCCACGACAGGTGCGCAGCAAGTGAAGAGGACAAGACAGAATAAAGGAAATAACGGGAGGGAGAGCTGGAAAGTAATCGGAGAAGGAGATAAAACAAAACCACTCTCCAGGTTCTCGCGATGGAAACGGGGCAGAGCGCGCAGAGCACCGACCTGGGAGGGGAGCACTCCGTAGGAGTGTGCGTGATGGAGCGAGACAGGGACCGGGAGAAGGGCGAGGTGTCCAGCCCGAGTCCTCTGTTCAAACAGCGTTCTCTACGGGTGGTGTATGTCCTGAACGACGGGCTGAAGTCAGTGATGGCCAGCAGCCCGGAGTCCGGAGCGCTGCAGTGTCTGCAGAGAGCCTGCGACTCGGAGAGCGCTCTGCTCACCACCGTCACCTTCGGAAGGCTGGACTTCGGAGAAACATCGGTGCTGGATAGTTTCTACGATGCAGGTGTGTGTGTCAAGAAACACTTTGGTTTTGGTCATTTGCAGGTGAAAAGATGAAGTCGTCTTCTGTGGGTCAGAACTAGACTAAAGTTGTTTGAAGAGTTGTTGTCTCCTCAGTTACACAACAGCTGTTTTAACAGTATGTGATGGTGAAACAGTGAAAAGCCGTTGAAACAGTTGTATAGGCAAATCATCACACTTTAATTCCCCTCAGGCCATATACACAGGATAATTCACCTTCATTATTATTGTAACAATAAAGCGATCTTCTTTTATTGGAACAATAATTTATTTGTTTATTATCTGATTGTTTGAATGTGCAGTACTCACCACTATGTGACATAGTAACTATACTACTCATCGTCCAGTGGGTAACATTTGATGTGTAACCACACATCAATGTGTGTATATAAATTATTTGTGTGCTCATTCAGTCCTCGGCCGTCAGTGCTCAATGGGCAATGCATCAGTGTGAAATAATTATCATCACATAGATCTTTTTATATTTATTAGTAATTTGTTTTTATGTTTTTACATTTAAATAGTACTAGCACTATAGTATAGTATGTATTGTGTTATATGTGCGTATTGTTGCACTATCTGAGAAGCTGCCAACTAAATTTCATTGTAAGTATACCATAACAGTAAAGACTCTTTCTCTTTTTTGCTATTATTCAGCTATTAAGACAGTTACTAAACCTGAAAGTCTTTGTTGACCCTGAGCAAATTGTCACCATTTTGTCTTCTTCATGAGAAGCTGACACCCAGCTTCTTATCAGGGCAGTGAAACCACAGTCTGCCTCAAAAGCTTTTAATTGCCAGCTGTGTAAACAGGGTGATGAGCACCTCTGCTGACAGACACAGGTGGAGGTTTTAGTAGTTCAAATACTAGACGAGGTGGCTCTGCAGAAAGAGTCACACTGGCTGAGTTCATCGTCTGGATACGAATGACTACAGCATGTGGTTACTTTGGGAGAAGAAGGAAAAATGAACTGCTTGGACAAGTTAAACCTTTTCACTTGTCAGAGCAGGTAAAACACTGGTGTAAATGATGACTCAGTGACACTGGAACTTTCCCAATAGGCTGTGACACAGAGCTGGGAACTGGTAAAGCTGTATAGCCAAAACAATGAAATCCTTGTTGATGTAATTCATTTCTCCTGTAGTTTTCCTGTCATGACATGTCAAAACGTTCGCCCTGTGTACTGTAAGTGTACAGCCTGATGTTACTCTGTGGGCATCAGACTGTAGTTTTATTAGTTGTGGTCTGCAACTGGATTGCAATGAAGTTTTGGACAAACATTCAAGGTCCCCAGAGGATTAATCCCAGTGACCTTCACCTGATTTTACCTCCAGCACCTTCATGAGGTTTGTGATTTTGAGAGAAATGTCTCAACAACTATTGGATGGATTGTAACGCCAGTTTTGTGCCAACATTCACAGTGCCCAGAGAATAAATCTTAATTTCACTGGTGACTTTTCATCTCCTGCCACCGGCAGTCTGCGCCCGATTTCTTATAGCCTTTATACAAGTCACTGTTAATATTCTGACCAGATATTTATCCTTTTGTTGTGTGTGATTATTTTTAAAATTACAAAAAATGAAGCTGAAACATTTCTTTGTGAACAGCATGCCTCAATTTGATTTGATTTCCTTACATACTGTTTTTAGTCATTTGATTAATGTTGGCCATTTCCAGAATACATGTCCATGATCAAGATCTATACAGTAGAGTGTTTCACTGAAGTGTTTACTTTTTATTTTTGGTGTTGTCAAAATGTGACCATAGACACCTGTTATTCTTGTCATGGCCGTCATCTTTCTAGACATTGCGGTTGTGGACATGAGCGATGTGTTTCGGCAACCCTCCTTGTTTTACCACCTGGGCGTGAGGGAGAGCTTTGACATGGCCAACAATGTCATCCTGTACCATGACACTGACCCTGATACAGCCCAGTCACTGAAGGTACGCACACACACGCACACACACACACACACACACACACACACACACACACACACACACACACCTCTGTTTGAATCGCCTGTCAGTGTAATCACATTTCATGGAGGCAACTGCTTTGTGCCTCCTTAGAGCAAAGGGATCCACTAAGTTGTTTACAGACTAGTGTGAGAGTGTGGATATGTACAGTCAGTTGTTTCAAATAGAAATTTAGCAGTGCATTTCAAGAATACACAAGTAGCTTTGGCATCCAGCCTTGAAATTCATTCTCTCATGCTGTTTGTTTTATCTCCTTACAGGACATGGTGGCACAGAAAAACACAGTAAGGTTCTGCGTGTGTGTGTGTGTGTGTGTGTGTGTGAGTTCTTGTACTTGCTATATAGTGAGGCCCATAAAAGTTTTTTTTTTTGCTGCAGAATGAGGACATTTTTGGAAAGTGAGTACATTTTGGCCGCTCCTCACTTTCTGAAACAACTTTTTGAGGGTTAAGACTTGGTTTTAGGATAAAGGGTAGAATTATGTTCAGTTTAGGCTTAGGTTATGGCTAGGCATTTAGTTCTGATGATTTAGGTTAGGGTAAGGGCTAGCGAATGAATTATGTCAATCAATGTCCTCACAAAGATAGAAGTACAACTTTGTGTGTGTGCATTTCAATGTGATTCATGTGCACATGCTGTCTCGTGCTATTTCTGGAATAATATTTGTGGGACTAGTTCTGATTGTCCTCTCATACACAAAAGCACACAGGGATGAATCTACATGCTGTCCCTCTCTCATCCACACCCACGTTGGTCTTATTATAGCTGTGAGGACCCCAATAATAACATCACCATCAATAATAATGTATGTATTGTGTGTGTGTGTGTGTGTGTGTGTGTATGTCTATGGAGTAGGCTGCTCATCCTCCAGCATTAGGTTTTCCCTGGGTTCAGTTGCCTCCAGAGTACAGAGGCTCTGGATTGCGCAATAAAGTAGGTGCTATACTGCAGCAAAGCATGCTGGGAGATTCTCTCAAAGACTAATAATAACAATAACAAACATGGAGGAAGGGCTAAAGGCCACTGACCTCCCCGTGGGATGCTGTGTGAATAAGAGATTAGAACTCATCTAACAACATGCAACTAAACAAAGCCAGAGGAGATCAAATCAGTTTCGGGTATAGAGGACACTCTGCAGTGCTCTGTTTTGATGATGATAGTATCATAGCTTTAGCTACAGAGTGTAATAAGTCACAGCAAAAATAGTACATAAAACAGGAACTGTCCTCTCCTCGATGGGATGTTAAAATTTATGGTGATGCATTCTGCCAATGAGGACATCACATCCAAATATCCTGCCTTCAGGGTGAACTGCTTATCCTCTCCTTCAAAATGATATTAAAAGAAGAATAGCATTGCTTTTTGTATTGCATGGTAATAAAAATCACCATTTGTTGTGTTGTAAGTAGTCATACTTTGTAATGTTGTGAATATATTGTGAGGCATGCCTAACACACAGTGTGCAGCCTTACAGAAGCTACACCACCTACAGAAAGCTTCATGTAGACCAGAGGCAGTCAGCTGTTGCTACAGCTTTCTGCTTTGCAGCAATCCCTTTGATTCAATTCAGTTCAATTCAATTTTTTTTTTTTTGTATAGCACCAAATCACAGCAATAGTCATTTCAGGACACTTTACAAAGTAAGATCTAGACCTTACCATTATTATTATTATTATAGAGGAAAAGCCAAACAACTCCCCCTTGAGCAGCACTTGGTGACAGTGAGGAGGAAAAACTCCCTTTAACGGAAGAAACCTCCGACAGACCCCGGCTCTTGGTGGGCGGCCTTCTGCCTCGACTGGTTGGTGTGAGTGGATAGAGGAGAGACAAAAGAAAAGAAAAGCAACAAGACACAATAAACACAACAACAAACAATCAAACACTGGGCAGGTTGATGTGGCCAGTGACTGCTCATCAGAAACATAGAGCTCCAGAGCCAGGACTACCTGCAGAAAGGTACAGGGAGAGAGAGAAGACACACTACGGGAGAGAGGAGACACACAGCTAGTGACACGTAGTGATGGCATATAGATGGATGGAGCGAGAGGAGAGGAAGTCAGAGCACGGTGAAGACTTTATCATGGAAGTTTTAACTAAATAACTGTGGAGCCAGTGACTGTGTTTGATCTGTCCAGATGATGGATGACATTTTAATGTGTTTTTAGAATATGTTAAATAGCAGAAACCTGACAATGAACACAGGAAGAATCATACATTAAAAGCAGAAATTGCTGAACTTTTGCCATTTTGTCATTGTGTACACAGTGGGTGCACCCAAAGAATATTTTCACCTTTCTTAAAGGTCCTGCATACCTTTGGTTAACTCCTCACTAGGGTTTTCACTTTGCCCAATGACAAACTTGTGTTTGACTGGCATATCCTTCACTCTTCTCATCATTCACTTTTACCTATGTACCATTTCCACTGGTACTTAATCTCACAGTCCCCAGCCTCGCTCCATGCACCTCCAGAGGTGTGGTCTAATTATCCAGAATAAGTGAAAATATCTTAAATTAAAATCAACAATAAAGAGAGATTTTTGATCATCAAACTAAACTTCAGCATGACACAAAATACCCGAGTCAGTCTATAAGACAGAAGTTGAATAAGTGCACTGTCTTGCAGAGAAGGAACAAAAATTAACAAGGACAGACAAAAAAGGAAAAATCATTTGGAGTTGCAACGTGCATTTGTGTGCATTCATTTGTACTGTGAATATTAACAGCCAAGTGAGTCTTATTACTTGGGTTAACCTTTGCTGATGTTGTCATGATGCCAACAAACAATCTGAGTGGTGCACTTGAGCCCCTTCTTGTACTAATCCTCCTCATTAATCACACTCAGTCCCCACTGTCTCCATCCATCCAGCCCCCTCCTTCCTCTTTCTCTGACTATACTTTACACCTGGCATCATGATCCTGCATGTGTTTGTCTGATAAATGGTTGTATCGTATTTACACCAGACATTTAAAATGTACTTCCAGGACTCACTGAAATCTGAGTCCTCTTTATCCTTTGATAGAGCTGTTTGCTTTTTTAAATGAAATGCTCCCTTGCTTTCTACTTCCAGGCATCGAGTGGTAACTACTATTTCATCCCATACATAGTGACTCCTAACCATGAGTATATGTGTTGTGAGAGTGACGCCCAGCGCAGAGCCAGTGAGTACATGCAGCCCAGCTGGGATAACCTGCTGGGGCCGCTCTGTGTTCCCCTGACCGACCGCTTCACCAGCCTGCTGAAGGACATTCACGTCACATCCTGGTGAGACACACGTAGACATAAAGAAAACACTGTCATACACAAGTCAAGACAGACACTTATCATACAGACGGGTGATAAATTAAAGGGAGAAACCTGAATAAATGAATCTCTTCCATGATAACAATGTCCCTTTCACAGGTCACAGGGGTCACTGGATGATGGAACCGGTCACTGCCTGTGGCAGTGTTTTAGTGTAATTTGGTATATGTTTTCTTTTCTTGTAGATATGATTAAGGTTCAAAGTAAATTTTGAAGCTTATGACAAAATGATCTGTTTTGAAGTTGTCGCTGAAGTCCAGCTTAGAGTCCTTCTTCAAGTCTTCACATAAACTTCTGAGTCTTAACCTCCCACCACTACAGTCACTGTTACAGTGTGAGCAGCATCAGGGGTTTTTATCTGTCACTCTTCTGCTCTCGTTGTTATTTTACTCCCTTTCTTTTCACTTCTCTTTCCTTCTTGTCTTTTGGCTTTTGCAGTGCCTCCTTCAAGGACACCCTGCTCAACGACATCAGGAAAGCCAGGGAGAAGTACCAAGGAGAGGAGCTGGCTAAGGAGCTCTCACGTATCAAACTCCGAATCGACAACACAGAGGTCCTCACTCAGGACATCGTCATGAACCTGCTGTTTTCCTACAGAGACATACAGGTACAAACAACATGGTCTAAAACAGGAACAATAACAACATATAGTTTACCTTTGTTAGGCAAGGCAGCTGTATTTGTATAGCATGTTCCATATACAGAGGCAAGTCAAAGTGCTTTACAGAGACAAGAAAACAGAGTAACAGCATTTAAAACAATACGCATTAAACCAGAATAAAATCAATTAAGACAAAGTGAAGATAAAACATTTTTAAAATGAGGGAAAATACATAAAATCAAAATAAGAGCAAACAGACAAAATAAAAGATCTGAAAGAGAAAACTAACAGTTACAGTGCAGAAAGTACAGCATAGAAACCAGTCGAACAAAGGCACAGGTAAACAGCCACAGTAAGCACATTTCATCATGAAGGACATACTATCATTTCCCCTTAACTGACCATCAGGACTATGACGCCATGGTGAAGCTGGTGGAAACTCTGGAGATGCTACCAACTTGTGATCTGGCAACTCAGCCAATGATCCAGTTCCACTACGCCTTCGCTCTCAACAGGTACACACCAGCAGAGGGCAGATTTAGAACATTTGGACAGGGTGGCCAGACTGTGGCATAGACTCAGAGAGGGGTGGCACATCTGAAATACATGTAAAAACCAACTCAAGCCCTTAGTCTTGTAAAATAATAAGCCATACACGGTTAAGAAACGAATTGTCTATTTTGTGTAAAATGAGGTGAATCATGCCAAGTACTCCACAAAAACACAATCGAAAAAGTTAATACAAATATCTTGCTGAATGCATGATATTAAATAAAACTAACTTGACCAATATCAGTTATAAAGCACCAGAAAAATGTTAGCTGTTGTTTTTTTTAATTTTTAATTCATTAATACTGACAAACATCTGAACCCTGGTGGCGGTAGCACCAGGGGTGGCCAGTCAGATTCTTGGCTCTGCCTATACACACCAGCTGGATTCAGATTCTGTGTAGATGAGAATTCATGCACAGTCTACCAAACAAGAACTTTTATTTAACCCTGAAACTAAAATATATTTTATTTTATGTACAGCACGAGGGTGTTAGAATACAGTACATCTGTTCTTTTTAGGCTGTTTCGAAAAATTTCTTGCTCAGTTGTACTGCAAAATGAAATAGTGATTACCTTTTAAAACTTTAACCCCTGGACTATAACGATGTTTGGGGTATCATACCAAACTAACGTCAGACTTTTTTTTTTTTTTTTTTTTTGACTGACATATTTAAAGCATAACTTCTGCAAGGCTTTAAACCAATGCAGGAATTTAAAAACTCATTTTAGACAAGATTATATAAGCTTTAGTGATTCCACAAGTTTTTGTAAAGTTTATTTATGTTTAAGTTTCCCTTAAAATGTAAGATGTAAGGCCAGGATTGTCTCCACATTTATTGTGTACCACAAAGACAAAAGACAGTTACTACATAATTAGTCTAAATTTAGTTGAGATCTGATGTGATGTCATCTGTTTTACTATATATAAGAAATTATTACACTCTACAAATGTATAATTTCATGAAAACTGTCACAGAAACAGACAGCTAGATAGCTTGATAAAGCAGGAAACATGAATTTACAAAGAGTGTGTATGTTTGCAGGAGGAACAGTCCTGGTGACAGGGAGCAGGCTCTCAGAGTGATGCTGCAGGTGTTACAGTCTTGTGAACACCCAGCACCAGACATGTTCTGCCTCTGTGGACGGATATACAAGGACATCTTCCTTGACTCGGACTGCAAAGACACTAAAAACAGAGACAATGCCATACAGTGGTAAGAACACACAAAATAAAGGCACCCAAGTATTTCCATGGATTCACCTACATGTCCCTTCCCTCCTGCAGGTACAGGAAGGGTTTTGAGCTGCAGCCGACTCTCTATTCTGGGATCAACCTGGCTGTCCTCCTCATAGTTGCTGGCCAGCAGTTTGAGAGCTCAATTGAACTGAGAAAAATAGGTGAGAGGATGTTGAACTTGACACCCCTTTGATTGTTGTGCAATGCCCACAAAAGCTAGATAGCCTATTGATTGAATCAGGTGCATTCAGTGGCATATTGTTCACTACAGTTGCTTCATTTGTCTTTGCCAAACCTAGGTCAATATCAACACATGCTTATGGAGCTATAGTGATTTAACACAGAATAGCTTGGAAAAGTGATACAATAACAGCTCACTGTGTGTATAACTGAACTACCAGAGGTGCTGTTAAAAGGTAACACAACAGAAATGAGCAAGGCAAAATCATTTCCTCCAACTTTCTCCCTGCTAATAATCTTATGTCTTAGGTGTGCGTTTGAACAGTCTGTTGGGACGCAAGGGTTCCCTGGAGAAAATGAACAACTACTGGGATGTGGGCCAGTTCTTCACTGTTAGCATGCTAGCTAACGACATCCCTAAAGCTACGCAGGCTGCTGAGAAACTTTTCAAACTGAAGCCCCCGATCTGGTAAAAATGTTTAGATCAGTAAATATGGTTCTTTTAGATATTTCACTCTATAGTTGCTGTATAGTTTGTTATCAGCACTATTAGCAAGTTCTGGCCTGAAAAAAATTTCTACTGTATTTTTTAAGCTACAAAGTCCTAAAGAATAGTATTTTTCAGGTATTTGCGGTCGGTGGTGCAGAATCTGCAGTTGATCCTGAGGTTTAAGAAGCAGACGGTGGAACATTCCCCTCAGCGGGAGAGGCTCAACTTCTGGATGGACATCATCGTAGAGGCAACACAGCGCACCACCAATCGACTGCGCTTTCCAGTAAAAAACACACAAAAATGCTGAATTAAATATGCACCTTTAGAAACAGTATTTAAAGACATTTGATAACACATCCACTCATTCTTTTCTCTTACTGTTACAGGTGCTGATTCTGGAGCCAACCAAGCTGTACCAGCCGTCCTATGTGTCTATTAACAGTGAGGCAGAAGAGAAGAATGTCTCTATCTGGCATGTTAAGAACATCACCTTCTTGTCCATTCCTCTTCCTAAATGCCAAACAATTTCATTGTTAAACAACTGACAATTACTGTAACTGTTACTAAGTGCATTCCATGGACCAGATGTTTTGCAAATTTTCAATTTGCACATAAAACATACAACATTCAAAACAGTCCTATCTAATGTTTATGCTTGGCTGAGGTGGAAAAGTTGGTTAACTGATAAAACCAAACTGTTACAAAGTGGAAAGAATTACAGTGTAAATCATGACGTATATGAAGCATGCGACTTAAACACTTATTCAAGGTTTCACTCTAATGAAGGCATTAAAAATACTGGCAGACGAAACATCATATATAGGTGGACCGATGACGATACTGTAACGTTTCTCAAATTGAAACATGAAACAAATAGAAATACCAGATTTCCATCATGTTTTCTACCTGGTTTCTCATCATTTGAGGTTTGATTGGTGCTCTTGTAATTACATCATCTTGTTGTTCTCTTCTGCAATGGCTCCTGACTGGGGACCTAGCGCTACCAACTATTCACCTTGATGAATCAGCATCCTAGTTTTCTCATAACGGTACTGGATGGAGACATGCAATAATCTGCATTTTCTTTTTTTAAAATTTTCACAACTTTCTGATGGAAACCTGGTTCTTCTTATCAAGACAGAACATCACACGTGCTTTTTCCTTCTGTTTCTTTCCCATTTTTAAACTTAAAATTTGAATGAGTCCTAATGCTTTAACCCTGTTTGCATGTGACCATTTTGAGCAAATATGAGCAATGTGAAAATTTAAATTTTCATTCACTTGGTTTGCAGAAGGGGATTCATGAGTGGAACTTCACTGCAATGTCCATCAAAGGCATTAGGTACGGCTAAATGGTTGGAGGTGAATACAATACATACAAAACATGTTTGATGTTAGGCACCTAAAAAAACATTCATTCATTTGTTATTTGGACTATTTGTGAAACGTTCATCTTTGCTTTTTATGTAATTTTTTAATTGTGACAAAATTTAGAGAAAGAAGAAAAAAATTAATCGAATTTTTAATTATTTTTTCGGTTCTGTACCGGGAAACAAAATTCCTAGTGTTTATAACATACTTGGCCAAATAAAGGTGATTATTAATTTATTCTGACTGTCCTGTCTGCAGTATCAGTAAGTTTGATGAGCGTTGCTGCTTCCTCTACGTCCATGATAACTCTGATGACTTCCAGATCTACTTCTCCACTGAGGAGCAGTGTGGTCGGTGAGGACACATACCTCTAGTTGTACAGTTGTTTCTGGTAAGGTGTGTGTGTTTGTTTGTGTGTCAGTTAAAGTAACTGGAAAAGGAGGAACAGGACCGAGGACCGACCAATGGGAAGACAGGCTGGGAGATGCAGAACAAATAGTATAATTTTAACACCAGGAAAACAAGAATTACTGTGACTCCAGGCAAAAAAAAAAAGAATGGAAAAGGGAGAACTTGAAACTGATTGAGAGTCAAAACAGGTGTCAGAACAAATAGGAAATCCAAAAACTGACAGGCAAAATCCAGGGGAATGGTGTGATGGCAAAGGAAGCTGGCTGCTGGGGAACAAGAACAGCTGGATAGGAGGATCCAGGTGCAGGCCCAGGGGCCGAAGGGGCATCAACTGGAGAGGCTGACCCAGGAACAGACTCTGAAGCTGAAGTGGTGTCAACCTGGGATGCTCACTCAGGAACCAACTCTGAAGCTGGGGAGGCACTCACCAGGGAGGCCAACTCAGAAACAGAAGGGGTGTCGGTGGCAAAAGCCACCCCAGGAACATACATGGTGTCAGCGACAGCCATCCCAAGATCAAACTCAGGAGCAGACGAGGCGCTGGCGAGGACAGCAGACTTGGGCAGATTTAGGAACAGGCAGCTGTTGGTGGACAGCCAATTCAGGGAGCACATGAAGTATAGCAACATCAGGCCTAGTCACTAAGAATACAGGTGGCTAGAATGCTAATTCTGTGAAGATGATCTGGAGAGTTGAAGGGGGAGCACAAGGGTATTTATTCAAAGGGAGTAGATGATCGAAGTGGAAACAGGTGAGCAGGAGTGGGGAGACAGATAACTGGGGACATCTGCTGGGTGGGTGGAGAACTGATTGACTGACTGTCTGTAAAGTGCATATGTGCAGTTGTATTACAACATGACCTGATCAGCATGATCTGGATAATAAATAACATGTGGTTGTGTGTGTATGTGTTTTAAGGTTCTGCTCCATGGTGAGAGAGATGATATCAGATGGTACGGGGAATGCTGTGGAGCTTGAAGGGGAGGCTGATGCAGATACCCTGGAGGTCAGGGGGGTTGTGTGCTTGTGTTTGTTTGCATGCATGTAGCCAAAACATTATTTTACAGCAAATATGCACCTTTACAGTTCCACTTTCTGAGTAACACTGTGTGTGTGTGTGTGTGTGTGTGTTGATCTTTGTGTGTTACAGTATGAATATGACACCAATGAGACAGGGGACAGGGTGGTGTTGGGACGTGGCACCTATGGAGTGGTGTATGCTGGGCGAGACCTCAGCAACCAGGTCCGAATCGCTATCAAAGAGATCCCTGAAAGAGACAGCAGGTAGGTGTGTGTGGTGTGTAAAAAGGTGATGAACGCTTTTGTTTTGTCTTTTCTTGGGAAACAAATCTGCTACACTTTCAGCTGTCCCTGTTAGGGGTCGCCACAGCAAATTGTCACACTGACAGCTCACACGGTGAAGTTTGGCACATGTTTTATGCCAGATGTTCTTCCTGATGCAACCCTGAATCGAACCCAGGCCGCAGCGGTGAAAGCGCTGAGAGCGCTGAATCCTAGCCACTCGACCATCAGGGGATGGTCTTTTTTGGAAAAAATGCATTTACTTATTTGTTGTGTGGAAGCGTATTTTCCCCATTCGCTTTTTCCTTATATAGTTTCAATTTGTGCTGGAGAAACATTGAATCCCTCTTCTTAAAACATAAACTCTTAGCTTGTAGAAAACCAAGACTGAGGACATCTTAAAGTTGTGTTCCTGTACCATATTTTTCACATTTCATCTGAGAATGTGTTTTGGCAGCAGCTTAAAGCTGAAAGGGCTAGCTAATGTTATATCCTGTGTATTAATAATTGTCTTATATCACTACTTACTTCTTACAAAATCTGGGTTTTTATACTGGAAAGCTGTGTTTAAATGTAAATATGTGAAGCATGTTGATGCTGTGGCAAAATGCATGTTTATCAAACTGAAACTATCTGAATAAATGGAGGAAAACAATCTATTTCCATCTACTTTTCTTTCTGTGGATCAGGTACTCTCAGCCCCTTCATGAAGAGATTGCCCTTCACAAGTACCTGAAGCACAGAAACATTGTTCAGTACTTGGGTTCTGTTTCTGAGAATGGATACATCAAGATCTTTATGGAACAAGTGCCTGGAGGTGTGTTTGTATGAGAGAGAGAACCAGATTGTGGAACAGTACTAGTACAATTAATTTCCTTGGTAAGAAACACAGCTGATAACTATGTACTATATATTCTACGTCTAAATGATGTGTTTCCCTGAAGGTAGGCAGATGTTTTTGATAGAACTCAGAGCTAATAATGGACAGGTTGTCTGAGATCGATTCTTGTGACCTCTCGGTTACTGGGCGGTCTCTCTAACTGCTTGGTCATCTTCCCATTTCATGATAGGTTTTGGACACTCCTTCTCTCCTTTCCCCAGGAAGCCTGTCTGCTTTGCTGCGATCTAAGTGGGGTCCACTGAAAGAGGCAACTATAATCTTCTACACCAGGCAGATCCTGGAGGGACTCCGATACCTGCACGAGAACCAGATCGTCCACCGAGATATCAAGGTACAGTACACGTAGTCCTGCTGA